TCTGCTGCATTTGTCTCAACCTACATGGCTCTTTATTTTATTGTTTTCAGTGAAGCCCATGCTTGTAGTCTCTAACAATAATACATTTTCATGCATCATTGGCAATACAAGGCTTCATTTAGACTATTGATTAACATTCTCATTGTATTAGTACTTGTTAGTGTTTCATACCTTTTTATTGTTTGATGATTTCAAGCATTGACCTTTGCAAATTTACATTACATAAGCAATTAGCCGGTAATAGATTAAATTAATAAAGAAGATTCCCATCAAATTCTTAGTCTTTAGTAATCTATCATTTTATGGCACTGTCCATTTTTTTTATTTATATTATGCACAGCTGCTTTTACCAGCTGAAGTCTACGTTGTACTATAACTCCTGCTGGAGATTCATGAGTTACATTCAGAAAGAAGATGCTACACTGAGTGTTTACAGCTTGCTGTGTAAGTGGATAGGGATAAGAATTGGAAGGAAAGTTGCCATGTTTCTGTTTCTATGTCTTGACGATCATCTGTTTTGTTTTTCGTCTATGGATTTAACAAAACAAAACTGGAGCTAATTTTAATTTTTAATTAAAGTCAATAGCATACGCTCATACTGTTGCACTTGGTACAAAGAAGAATAAAAGAAAATACAGGGAGAATCTTGAAAGAGAAATGCATTTCTTCCGTTTAATTATTTAGTTTCCAACTAAGAAACAGCTCTACAGAGGTCAATTATCCTTCAGGGATATCTTAGGAGAAGTGAACAATTAGCTTGATTTTCTGTTGAATATGTAGCTTGTGACTCGGTATGAGATCTATTAAAAAGATGATAATTCCTCTTAAACTATGTCCTAATATACATAGAGCCTGTTGCTGAAGGTAAAACTCAGTGGAGTAATCTAGTCCATCACCGCGAGACACAGATTTTCTGTCTTGCTACACAGCAGTCAATGGTAATTTTAACTCTTTAAGTCTGCAGTGGATCACTTACAGATAAACATAAGGTAAAATGTAAATGTAGAGCGGTGGCTGGAGGCAGGACCCGTGGAGCCGAGCACGGACAGGCGGCGAGGGGAGCCAGGGCAGGGTTCGCTCCGGTAGCTGCAACCCGCTGGGATGCCCGTTGCCTGTGTGACCGCGCTAGTGCCCAGTGCCAGTATGTCGGAGCACGCTGCCCTGGGAAGGCTGGTCAGAGGCCAAGCAGGAGCTGGGAGGGAGGCTCCAAAGAGAGCTGCCTGAGGCTGCACAGGCTCTAATACCACCACTGGTGTAAAGAGCTGCTCCAAAAGCTGTCTCCCAATGCACAGCTTCATGCTGCTGCTCTTCATGCTTCCAGCTTGCTTGCTGTAGCTGAATTGCAAATATCCAGACCACAGAGTTTGTTTTTCGTATGTCTGCTGACACTTCTGCTATTGCATAGCTGGGTGAAACATATAAATTCTCAAGAGTGTGTAATCTTTCAAATAGAAAAGCAGAATGCAGAATTTTACAGTTCACGTGTTTTTTTTCTTTTTAGACGTCTTATTGTGAAATTCAGATTTTACCACAAGAAGAAATGGGAGTGTTTGAGCTAAAAATGAGCTTTGCCTAAGTAACTTGCAGGAGGATAAAGTTTGAAAAAGTACTGCCAAAATTCCTACGTACCTGAGTGTCACTTTGAGCACCTCAGTCTGTCAAACTGTACTCCTTCAAATGCATCCTGAACTGATGCTTAGCCCCTGATGGACCTAAATTAGTAGGCACCCGTATTTCTGACATTGAAGGTCCCGTGGTATCTGAAATCTTGCTTCTGGTCATGTTTAGAAGTGCTGCAGTCCTGTCAGGACTGAGCAATGTGGTGCCTTACTTGTACCTTCATCTGCAACATGAACCCAATATTTTAATATTCCGTGACAGCAAAATCTGGGACTCATCACTTCAAGGCCAGACTGCTCTAAATCCCTTCTGCATCTTCCCAGCATACTAATGTAAGTAAGGAGAAAACCGTAACGGTGCTATCTTTCCCAGAATTGTGACAGGATGCTGAATAATCCCCCTCTTGCATTTTCTAAATTAATTTGCAGGCCTTATTAAAGAACGGATGAGGTCCTGAGACTGGTGGGATTGTTTCCAGCGTGGACACAGGCAGACTCCTGGTGGCACAGCTCCAGACGTGGTGGCCACCCATCCCGAGCTCTGGATATTTTAGCTGCTTGGCCTCCTTTGCCCATGCTCCCTAGGAATGCCTTCTCCTAAGTCCACTTGCAACTCTGCATGACAAGGTGAGATGGTCCTGTGGTGGACTGAGCAGCCTACAGTGATGGCACCTAGCTGTATGACACATGGGACACAAACAGGTATTTTTCTGCTTCTTCAAGTGACATCTCTTCTGTCTAAGAGGAAACATTAGGAAATGCTTTTCCATCTTTTCCTGCATTTCTTTGTGCTAATCATGACTCAGGAAAACTACTGGTGCCAAACGCCTGTCCTGCTCAAAGTTATAAGACTGGATAATCAAGGTGAGACCTGCTTACTGCTTAGGTATGGCCTAGAAAAAATTACTGTGTGTGGTCTTACTGTGTGCTAGCTTAAGTTCAGAAGCAACTTAGGTGTTTTCTTATGGCCAGGCACCCTGCACAACAAGCTCTGCAGACCTCAGCTAGCTTTTTCTACAGGCGGTTTGTGGGTTCCTGCATTGTGTTTCCATCTGAATTGAAAATTATGCTGGATCCGGCACCACCAGAGCTCTGTGGAGCTGACTCCCAGAGCGCTCCTTCGTTCCCTCCTGCATCGCTCTTCCCAGCCCCGAGGAGCCGATGTTGCCCGGGCCGCATGAGGGCCAGCGGGACCAGGGCGCAGAGGGGTCGGGGCTCGCACTCTGCTGTCGGGAAGGCCACGTGGCGGCTCCGCGGGCCCCGGGAGCTGCCCTGCTCCGCTCGCACCAGCTCCTCTCGCTGTGCGTGCCGTAAATTCAGCGAGTGTGAGGGTAAAGCCAGCATGATGGCCATGCTGTGGATGTTTAGTGGGCTCCGCAGCTACTTGGAGAAAGTTTGTGCACTGTCCTGAGACTCCTCCTGTGGAGACCGTGCTGGCAGTGGGCAAAACTAAAGGTATTGCCCATTTCATTTGCTTCACTCAGAAGTGCTCGATGATGGAGCTACATGGCATCTGTCGGGCAGCGTGCTAGTGACTGTAAAGGATAGCGCCTGCGTAAGGCACAGCAACGCGCCAGGGCCCAGCGCCCTGCACGCTGTGTGCACCCCAGTTCAGGCCTCAGTGCCTGTTACTCTGGCGCTGGGCGCAGCCGGCAGAGCGGTGCAGAGGGCTGCCCCCGATGCTCAGCAGCAGAGAAGAGAAGCTCTGCCATTGGCACTGCGGGACGGGGAGCAAGCAGAGGGCCCAACGCCGTAAAACAGCCCTGGAAGAAGCACGAGAGGGCTCTGCGGGAGCAGTACCGGCGTCACGCGCAGCTCCTGACGTGAGTACAGCTCCTTGCAGCAGCAGCGTCGGCCCCTGCCCCCCAGAGACTGGCTGTGGCATCGACTTCGGCGTTTTGCCTTGCGGAAGTTGTCCAGGGTAAAAGGCACAGACCTTGCATTTCATTTTCTTTAACAAAGTGAATGAAATGTCCATGAAAGGCGGTGGGTTTTTCTGGTTCTCCTTACCTGAACCCTCCTGTTTACTTGGGAGGTACAAACCGCAGGCTGCGGCTAGCCATGCAGTTTATGCTAACTCTGGTCTTTTCTGCTTAGCTTGTTAGGAGAGAGCCAGAAAAGAGGTGGCTTTTTGTGAGGTTCCCTGAAATTGAATGAAGAACACCTTGAAAAATGATGCATACTTCCTGTAAAGGTTTTAATTATTGTTTCTAATGTGATTTTTTTCCCCAGCGCGGCTGAGCCCTCTCTCAGAGAACGGCTTCAGTCCATCCCCTCCCAGGCGAGCTATTGAGAGACTGGCATACCAGAAGATGGGCAAATATGCCTTGAGCATGATTTTACTCATTTTGGCTGACCCCCACTAATGAACTAAACCATGGCTCATTAAGCAGTGGCTACTACGGAAGTTAAGGTAGATTTTTGCAAAATCCTGCCGCTCGACCAGCAGCCCTGCGTGGTGCCCGCAGAGCTGTCCGCTGAGTTCGCGTTGGGGTCCAGTGAGAGATGGCGTCACAAAACACCTGTGCTCTCCCTTGTTTATCTCTTTTACCACTTGTTTAAAACTAAAATTACTCAGTGGGAAAGGCTCTCCTCTTTTTTTTTTTCCCATTTGTTGTGTTTGTTCTTGAGCAGCATTGCCCATGGTAAAGCAGCACTGGATTTAGCTTCTGTATCTGGTCAGGGACAGGAAGCTTTTCATGAGCTTAAAGGACAGATGTTTTGTGAGTCACCCCGAGGTAACTGCAGCATCTCTGTGCCTCTGCAATTCCCTTCTGTAATGCGGCATGATGAAATGAATGTCCCATGTGATACAGGAAATTGTGCTTTTATGCTTCAGCTTCCTCATAACAAGAGTTTAAGCAACGGGTGTTGCAGAGCGGTGCGAGTGTGTTTGTGTGGCTGTGTGTGTGTGCATGCGTGTGTGGTTGATGGAGGCAGCTGGAACCGCAGAACTGAATAAGGAGGATCTCCTTCACGCGCCGGCGCCAGCACTCAAGCACGGGTGACTAACGAACACCGGACTTGGGTGCGAGGCCTTGGGCCTGATGGTGCTGATGTCCGTTGCTCCATGCTTGTGTCTTCCTGCCTCTGGGCCAAATGAGCTTTAGGCATAAGAGGATTTTTAAAGCTGGTAGTCTCAGGATCAGAAAAGTTCTGATTTTCTGAATCTTAATCTCAGTTAAAATAATTCTAGTGAAAACTACTCTTTCAATACACCTTTGCAGTGCAAAGTATAGCACTTGTGACCACCGAAATGATCACAAAGGGCTATTGAAATCAGGAAGAAGCTAGGAGACAACTCAACACATGAGATCACGATGAAAGGCAACAATGATGAAAGAAAAACGGTGCTGAACAGAGAGGGGCTCTGGCGTCCAGATGAGTGCCAACTGGCCGGAGAGCGAGGTGGCTTTGAAGGGGGGACGTCAGACCCACCCGCAGCTCCCTTCGGAAGCACCCCGGGGACCGGTAGCACCGACACACGAGTGCCACTGTTGAGGCAGTGATGGGGCGTCACTGGGTGTGTGAAGTAGAGGAAATTAATTGGGCCTGAAAGTCTTCTGCTTTTACACCTTAAGCAAGGGATTAAATCAGTATGTAAGTCATTTCTATGTATTTACCCTGAAATGTTCCAGCAGAAATGTTCTGAAGGAAGCTACAGTACTCATTTTTCTTGAAGTCTAAGTGCAGGAAGAATTTAAAGAAATAGGTCCTCTGTGCAGAATGATTCAAACTTAAGCATGGGATGCAGCTGCATTTTTCACACTTCAGTGATATGTTTAACATTTCAGAATAGCAGAGAATGAAAAAAAACGCAGCAAACTTCTCAATCCACTGAAAAATGCCTTTATGATGTCTTACCAGAGTATTGGAACACAATCTAAGGCCATACGTGTTGCCCTAGAATGTCTTTTTATTTTTATATGTATATATTTCTACATAGATATTATATCTATATACATACCTCTATACAGATATATCTTTAATGCAGTTAATATTCTGAGGAAAATAATATGAATAACAGAACTATTGTAAATGGTACAAATCCATTAAGAAATGAGACTTCTAAGAAACTGGTTTTGTGTTGAATTAAAGTTCACAAAACCTAAGGATGCATCCAAATGCAGAACTAACCCAGGCTTCTGGTTTAAACACCAGCTGGACCTGTCACATTTCTTCTTAATGAGGCTCAGCTCTGAAGAAAAGGAAGAAATGAAAATGGCCAGTATGGTAAGGTGTACAATGCAGTAATTGGATCAAGCTGAGAGATTTGTGGCCTTTAAGAGCAAGAGAAGAGACCCATGAGAGGGTTGGCATATGCAAATTGTTTGCTTTATTGAATTTTCTAAATACAATTTTTGTCTTTCCTCGAAACAGAATAGGCAGAATAGTCATGGTGTGTGGACTCTGGGAGCATTAAACACGTTACTTCTCAGCCTGCTAGGATATAGGTGGTTATGCCTTTGCCTACGGGAAGACCTGTCCATGCCTAGAAACCTTATTGTGAAACTTTTTGGAGCCATCTTCAAAGATGCTTAGTGGCTGTAAGGAAGTTTGGAGGATCTGAATTTTGGAGTGGACTGTGTACAGGAGGAGTTAGGTGACAGCCATATAGATTTAATCCTGGTTAAGTCCAGAGCAGTTAGGTGCATCTAGACCTCAGTGCAATGTATGCTGTGACGTGGATGTTTTCCAGCTCTTACCAAGAATTTATGGAGAATATCTCTAGGACATAACACAAGCCCATATCATTGTGCAAATACAAATTTAAATGAGGATTAATTTTTCTAATGTGGCTCAAGACACCACTTTGTCCTTGATTTCAATTTAATTGAATTTCCAGATTAAATGTCTTGGGTGAAATCAGGATAATTTTACTATATAAGCATACGCATTTGGGGTAGATTGTTCTAATTCAGGTAAGACAGTGTAATTTTTTTCCCAGCTTAACTGCAGGCCTCAGCTGGCTCTCACAGTTGTGCAGAGCAGACACAAGTCAGTTAAAACGTGGAAGATCAGTATTCTGTCCTGTTCATTTAATCTTGTAGAGAAAAAGCCGTAATTAAAGGTTTGAATTTGGCATTCACTTTTCTACTCCCAATATACTGTTAAGACTGCATCCTGACTTTCACAACATGTTCTGAGCACAAATTGGCCCTTGCTTTTATAGTGCAGCATCTAAAGAGCTACCGGCTGGTCGCGCAAGGTAAATCCCTTACTTTATTAACACAAGTTCCTGCAGGTTTTACATTTTCAAAGAAATAATTCACATTTCAAAAAGAACAGAGGTGATCATATTTTGGAGTAGCAAAATAATACTTTAGTAGTCATTTGCTAATTAAGTAGCTTTTAGTAGTAGAATTGGTTTTATATTTGTTTATTAAGTCCATGATATTGTGGAAGGAAATTTGGGATTAGCCAAATGGCACCTATGCAGAGAATAAATCGCAAGCAGATTGCTAGGTGCTTTTATACTTGCTTTGGAATAAGTGTCTTGCAGTTCATAACAAGAAACATCCTCCTCAGTTTTTTCCCCATGTCTACGGCAAGATTAAACCAATTCAGCTGTGTTGGGAGCTGAGCTCTTGGACTTGTAACAGGGCTAGCTATTACATTTGCTATTTCCTACTGGTAGTTTCATATATTGCAGTGAGTTCTCCAGGATCTTTTGGACCTCGCTGCACTGAGTACCTTAAACACATAACAGAAAAAAAGTCTCAGAGCACTGACAGCGTCATTTGGTTTTTTTTTATTCGCAAACTACACATAATCTTTTCCACTGAATAAAAAATGACTGATCACTTCTAAAATTGCCATCAGCAAAATACTTCAGTCCCCCAAATACTTTATAATAATTAAGTTATCCTCACACAATTTCTTCACGGATCCTAAAGGTATTATTACTTAAGCTCAGTTTCTGAAGGAAACTAGATCTATGCCGTCATGCTGCGGATTTGTTAACTTGCTGCTTTGAACCTGTCAACCGTGCCAGCCAATTGCAAATACATCTGACAGCACGGATGCCTCAAAGACGTCAGATTGCCACAGGCTCTGTAGCAATGGGTGGTACCATCACGTGGGGACGGAGCCCGTTTCACTGCTGCCCCTCCAGCCCCAGAGGGTCCCAAGGGGAGCGGCACAGCGAGCGCTGGAGCAGCAGGGGGGCCCGCGGCAGGGCTGGCAGCTCTGCCGGATGCTGCAGGATCCCAGCGTGAGGCGTCAGCTAAACTGAGCTCCTTCCACCAGACCAGCGCTGGCTTGCTCGTACAAGAAAATCTATTTACCAAAAAAAGCTTAATGACCGCCAGAGCAGAAGACCATGTCGCCGTGGCTCTCCTTTGGTGCCTGTGCCTCCTGACTAAGTGTTTGTTTGGAAACCCATCAAAACAGAGTTTGGCCTGGAAGGCTTTCCCCAGGAAAGTGCTCGGGCAGTGGGCATACTCATTCTTTGGGGATGTCTTCTCAGGTGACTCATGATATATTTGTAAAGATGCCTGGTACTGAAGTCATACACAGCATTGCAATTATATTCTTTTAATTCTTTTTGTGGAAAGTGAATGCATTATAACAACATCATCAATTGGAAATGTCTGGAAAGGACAGCTTGTTTAAATAAGGCCTTTTATAAGCTCCAGTTTTTTATAAATGTTTCAGTTCAGTTGTGATTTTTTTTCTTTTTTTTAATTAGATGCAGCGACACTATGCCCAATGTGTAAGCAGCTAAGTACAACAGTGGTCTTTTATGGCATAGTATTCAGAAATACCCGTACTGGCCCAAAACAAGATATCCTGATAAAACTGTTGTGATGCTAGCTATAGCAGCGTATAACTTCCTTGTCTATATGCGGCATAAATAAAACAAGCAAACTTTTGAAGATGAAATTTATGTATGTTGTAACTTGTAAAGTGTCTGCGTGGAAAGACAATCTGGATGCAAATCTCCACACTACTTTACACTAGCACTGCATTACTCCTGTGCTTTCCCAATCATAGCTTTAAGAAGGTTTTTAACAATTAAAAAAAATCCCAAGATTCCCCCTTAAAAGAAAAAGTGTATAACCTCACGGCATGGACCTTCCTTGACAGAGTGCCTGGAAGAGAGCTCCGGTGGTTTCCATTGTGCTCATCAGCCCGGATGGTCAACATTGGGAACAGCAGGGACGGCACTTTGCCCCTCCAGCATGCTTCACATTGCTCCTGCCTCTTTGCGTTTTCAGAAGCATGTCCTTTATGTGTAGGCAGGGACATTGTGCCATCTGTTGGGAATATTCGCATACCCGAGCCATATCCCTGCAATGCTGCTAGACAATATAAGAAATGTATTACCAGAATGTTGCAACTTCTATTTGCGTTTCACACATTTAGCTTTGCTTCCCACATTTCTCTCTCTCAGATATGATAAAGGGAGGAAACGCTCTATTCCTTGTCAGTGTGGATGGATGGCACCCCTAGAAGAATATGCATTTGAAGCAATATGTTCTGCATCACTGACGTAAGCTAAGATGCTGTTAAGGCTCAGGAAGGTTTGTTTTCCTATTCAGCGCTAGTGCGCGAGGGCACTCGGGGACTCAGTGTCCTTGAATTTAAAGAAGATTGAAACATTGCATTGTTGAGAATGAAGGGAACAAGGATGGGAATAGAACAGGGCTGAGGCAGACGGTAAACACTTGAGCGTAAGAGCTGAATGGGCTTGGCCTACATTTTGAATCTCACCACGGTCTCTTTTATTTCCCTGCATTTGTATTCCCTGGCTTTGTCATCTGTTCCAGGTTTGCTCCCCTAGTTTCTCCTGCATTTTTCTTCAAGTCTGCAATGCTGATTGTGCATCTTGGGGGAAGAATAACTCATGCCCAAGTGTTTAGGAGTGAGGGATGCCGGAGGAGACACGTACAGGAGATCATTTCTCCCTATCTGTATTTTGTCTTTTTCAAATTGAAAATTGTCCACGTGATGTTCGCTTGGTCGTCTCTAAACCCATCATCTTGTACTGCCTGGCAGGGCTCTGAAGGTCAGGCTGCAGATATGTTTCTGGATTCCTTATAGCAAAATTTTACCACAGCAAGCCCTGTCCTCGCTCCTGCCCCACCAGTAGCTGAGTCCCTTGTTCTCTCCTTTCTCTTTCCACTTGGGGAAGAAGTCCAGCTGGTAAATACCAATCAGTCCGCTTATGGGTTTCCTGTCATGGCCACTTCATTTATTGTTGTTGTTTACTGATTTAGGTGCAACAGCTAATAAGCAGGCAGTGAACGAGGCGGGGCAACACCTGCAAAGAAATCCATAGTAGATCTTACTCTAGTGGCTTTAAAGATCCAGATTTTTCAAATTCGTCGCTGGAGACTGAGAAACATATAAAATCATAGTTAAAGTTAAGCTAGGACAAGAAAAATGCTGGGCTTTTTTTTACTGGTATTTGACAGCAATAACCAATTTTTAATTCAACGGAGAGCTCTTAGTTCCTTGCTGAAGCTGAATAAAAAAAATAAATGGCGACAAATTTAATCCAATGCGTTTTAAATAGAGAAAATAACTTTCTGACATATTCACGGTGCTTGCTAAATGATTTGTTTCTGCTGAAAAGTCTCTAGAACTGCAAATTATGGCTGGATTTACAGAGGCTTGAAGAGACTTTTGAATCTGATCTTCTGTACATGGGATGGATGACTGGAACACCAAGCAACAGTGACTCTCTCATCCTTTTGTTGTTTATATACAAACCAAAACATTTTTTTTTGTCAATTTATTCAATATCTTATAACCGACCCTCAAGGTATCTGCTAGATACATCCTTGAGAATGATCATTGGTATCTTATGAATTTATAAACTGAGATATGCTGCTGTGGGATGCATATAAATACATAAAATATAGGCAGTAAAGGATATGAAATATGTGTGGTACAAACCTAACTTTGATCTCTCTGCTCTCTGGAAATAAAAGCATTTGCTGAAAACATCTTTAAATTTCTATCATCAAGGTCTATAGCATGGGTTTACAGCTAATCTTCTCTTAGTCCCATGCAATGCCTGCACATATTTTACTGGTAATAACTGCCACGATAGCCCTTGCTGTTCGGCAGCATTATGTGCAGGATTTTGAGAAAGATCACAAATAGCTTAGTATAGAAATCAATACACCAAGCCCACCCTGATTTTAACTTTGTATGTATTTCAGAGACTAAAGGTGCCCCAGTGGACGGATGGGATTTGGATTGAGCCTCTGGCCGTGCTTATGCTCGGGACGTACCCTTCTTGCAGCTACCTGGAGGCGTTAAGGTCGGCATTGAACAGCAAGAGGACGAGCAGGAGGCCTGAGGCATGGGTCGGTACGCATGAGCCATCACCTTCTTCTCAAAATAAGCCCACGGTCCAGTAAGTGACATTTCCTGCTCTGGCCTTTATTGCTCACACATAACGTTCATCGGGGTGGAAAGAGGCATTGAGAAAGCTGATTTAAAACCCAGTGAGGATGACTGGATGATTAAATACATGTAAAGATCTTGCTAATCAAATGGCTGGAGACACAAAGAAAAAGGGATGCCATACACATGAAGGAATGCTGCCACCACACCTGGGACTAGCCCTGGACAAAATGCTTACCCTGACATGGGGAGAGCAGAGGCCCAGAGGAGGGGGCTTGCTGGATGGCGCATGTGTCCGGTGCTGCACAAGTAACGGCTGCTGTGGCTGGGGCACTGCGCGTGCTGCACACATTGCGCGTCTGTGCTTCTTAGCGTGCTGGGTTGCGTACATCCTGCTGACTTCACATGCTGCAGGGTGTAATGCCATACGGTATGTTAAATTCGGTAGCCCATCATCAACATAGAGAAAACGTAAAAAATGTGCAGAGTTTAGTAAGAGACCAGAGCTGGGTTAGGAAGCAACAAGGTTTATGCAGTATTGCTCTAGGTAGCCCTAGAAATACCAAATCTATAGCTTAAGATAGATACAGTCCTGGAGGAGCGAGGATTTTCTGTGCTTGCATCGCTCTGCGAGACGGACTGTCACAGATCTCAGCCTTGTTTCTTTGCACATGTTTATTACTTTTACAACTGAATTCTCAGTTAACCTTGAAATAATTTAGGGCAAACTGCATCGGTAAGCAAACTTATTAAATTCGTAATTAAGGTATTTTCAAATATTGTGACTGGAAAATAACTGATTATGCTGTCTGCAGAAACAGCAAACGGTACAAAGACAGCTCATAGTTTTGTGGACTATATATATGAAATAAGACCTGCTGCCTGGTATCGCCTGCGGACGCGTCACACCCGCGGCGCGGGGGGCTGCGAGGACCTCGGGCCCGATGCGGGCTGGAGATGCGCGTGCCCGTGGCTGGGGTGCGCCGCGGGGAGG